CACACACACACACACACACACACACACACACACACACTTTGGAAGATTGCTTTTTCATGGTTTTATGAAAGAGTCAGCCTCTCATTCATTCACACACACACACTTTGGAAGGTGCTTTTTTCATGGTTTTATGAAAGTCAGTCTTGCGCGTGCGCGCGCTCCTTCCACCCGTTCCTAAATTTTCTGCAATCAGTTGCTTCAGCTCACCATGACCCTGTTTCCTCTCATTACATTTAAACAAACTTGATGAATCCACCCGTCCCTCTCTTGTGCCTTCCTTCCCACCTTAATTGGAGCCTTCCCTCCTGCCTGCAGTCACATCCGGCAGAAGTAGCAATTCACAAGCTGGATTAACTGCCCTGGGCTCTTCTACAGCAGTGAACAATGAAGCAGCTTTATCTACGATCCTCAAAAGAACTGATTTACAAGTACCTGATTTACAAGTGCCCGCAACCAAGGAAGGTAGCAGGGATAGGTGGCTTACGATCCTGAGGTTTATCTGCATGTGTGTGTGTGGAGGGGTAACGATCCGGCGATTTATGGCTTGCGTGCCCATGGAGAGATCTCTGTGTGCCAACTGTGGCACGTGTGCCATAGATTCGTCATCGCTGACCTATGAGAACATACATATTGAAAGCCCAGTTTCTATCTGCATCCATTGTGCCATGGTGACTATTGTCACTGAACGTTTTTGGTGGCGCAGCAGGTTTGTTGAACATCACATCAATGCATTGTGAACCTGTGACTATTAGGGTGTTCATCTTAGTTTTTCCTTCTGCCATTCTTCTCCTAAGGCCTTTTTAGAGACTGTGAGCAGCCTGTTTCCATTACACATGACCATTATAAAATTTTTCTAACATGATACTACAGTGGACCCTTTATTTATGGAATCAATCCGTATTGGAACAGTGGCTGCAGGTCGAAAAGTCTGTAGGTCGAGGCTCCATTGACCTACAATGTATCAAAAACAGATTAATCCATAACCGGCCATTTTTGTTCCATTTTGGTTTTTTTCTGGTCTGTACATCGATTCTCTGGTTGCAAGTCGAACCTAAATTTTGCGGCCAGAGAAGTCTGTAACTCGAAAAGTCTGTAAGTGGAGCTGTCTGTAAGTCAAGGGTCCACTGTAGATCTGGACTTCCTTATGTTCTTTTGCTGCTGCTGCTGCTTTTGTTACTTGCCGTCAAGCCACTTCTGACGTAAGGTAAACCTAAGAGGATTCTATTTCAAGGTATTTGAGATGTTCCCAGTGTGTTTCCATGTCTGAATGGGGATTTGAGCCCAGGTCCCCTGAGTTCCAGTCACATATTCTGTCCTAGCTCTTCTTTCCCTTAGACATTCCACCCTATTTTCTATGATCTCATGGCCTGTTTGTTTATACGGATCTGTAGATCACTCTGGGAGAAATATTCAGTGTGGCGTAGTGGATAGAGTTACAGACTACTACTCAGGAGTCTGGGTTTGAAACCCCACTCAGCCATGGAGGCTCACTGGAGGCATGGAACTGGTAAAACCATTCATTAAATATCTCAACTTCAATACTATTAGGGTCCCTATAATTCACTTCCAGCCCAAAGGCTCATAACAAGTCAATATGGAGTCTCTTTGGAAGAGAGAAGGTATAAATGATTTACACACACACAAGCATACAAATAATGTGTTTGTATACTTACATCTAGAGAAGAATATTTTTCTTCAAGGCATTGAAAATCTGAAAAGATTGTGCTTTGCATCGTTGTATTTTATTTGAAAATTTTGTAAGCAGACTTCAGAATCTGTTTGAAACAGAATCAAAGTGCCTTAAAGAAATGAAAGAAAATGAAATCATGTGCACAGAATCCATGGTAGAAAATAAGGCAGACCCTATGTCAAATAGCATTACTTTCCATGAAACTACTAATTTTTTGTTCATTCATTGCAGTCTGAGATGTAATATGTATTTCAAAAATTCAGACTAGTTAAATAAGCAGTATTTCCCGGGGGGGGGGGGGAATGACAGCAGCCATTCTCAAAGGTTTCAATGGCAAACATTGGTATATAAGTACTTTTCTGGGATTTAGTGGCTTGATACTTACTTTTGAATAAATGTTTTGAATAACTGAAAATATTGATTTGGCCAGAGGCCAAATCAATTCTTACATTGAATAGATCCTGTAATATTTGACTTATATTTTCTTTCATTTTTTCTGAAGTGTTCTTCAGTGCACAGAGAATCTCAACATGGGGGATCGTTTGAGAAGTTTTCAGTGTTCTGTTTGCAACACACCTTTCGGCTCAGAATTGAGGTTCCGTGTCCTAATTACCAGACTCCTTTCATCCTGCTGCGAAGTCCCTTTGCATGCTTGCTTGCTTTCAACTTTCCTAGCTGTTTTGAGAACCTTAACTGGGCAAGATGGGAAATACTTTCCTCCTACCTGCAGTAAGTCATGCATGAAGCAACCCTAGAAGTCTATTGCACAGCCTGTATTAAATGTATTAGTGCACTCAAAATGCCTGCTGCTTTTTAATTGTTTGAAATTTTTTTGAGGGAGGGGGTTGTCCGGTAGCTCTTCCTCAATGTATTATTTCTTGTCCTTTCTCCAACTCTCCGACATCAGCTACGAGCAGCACAAAGAAGCATGCCGAGGGGATGCCAGATTCATATGTAAGGCTGAGAGCTGTGGGAAGAGGTTCAAGAGTAAGGATGCCTTGAAGAAGCACAAGGAAAATGTTCACACTGGTCAGTAAAATCTTTAAACAGCAGTTGATTAATGGCCACTTCCGGTATCAACATTTCCTTTGACCAACACTTCTCAGTGTGGTCGTTGTCTGACCCCCCAAATATTTTGGACCCAAGCTCCCATAATCCAGTCAGAATATCCCAGAAGGATCAGGTGATATCCAGCAGAGTCTGTAATCTAAAGAGGACTGGCAGCTAATTCCTTTGTTTCACAACTGGCAAAATGCAGTGAACCCTGAGTTAACAGTGGTTCACAATGTAACCATATGCATTTTCAGCCTTTGTAATAGTAGACATTGACCTTCCAGTAATGTATGAAACTTGTACATATGACCACTTAAAAACTAGAGTGGAAAGATCAGCTGACAGGGTCCTGTCATTGTCCAGGAGATGCCTACATGTGTTCATAGGTCTCATGTTTGTCATCAAGGGGCAGGAGCTCTTGCTACACTGTACTGGATGTATAGGTTTTGTTTGTTTGGTTGGTTGGTGTTTTTTTTTTTTTTAAACAGCAGAAACATTCTTAGGTTGACAAAATCGAAGAGAGCCATGTGGTCTTTATACATTATAATGCAGAAGTAGGTGATACCTTTATTAAATCATTTTTAAAAAAATCATATGATCAACTGGTTCTGTGGATCAGAATACACTTCCTTGGGTATGAACTGGTGTCTTGTTGATAGTGCAGAGAAATTAGAGTCCTGAAAGTTCATGATAGATGGTTGTGTCAAGCTGGTATCATAGAGATAAGTTAGTAAAAGCGCAGGCTGCATCGGCAACCACAGAGAGCTGTCCTGAAACATAATACATTAGAGATGGGATAAAAGTGTAAAATCTTTGTATCCATCAAATGGCCTGTGAAAAATGACACAGGCAGTGGAAAACATTTGGCCTTTCCCTTTGTACTTCTTTATTAAAGCTGTTGGTGGTATGTTCTGTTTCTGTTTTAGGAAACTCAAGGAAAAGGCTGGTGTGCTCCCTGTGCAATAAGAGATGTTCTTCAGCAACAAATCTTCAAGAGCATCGAAAGGTCAGTAAAAATGAAGGCTGACCCCCAGCAGGTGATGCCTTTGCTAAGGTAAAAAGCAACAGAGTATAGTCACCAGAGAGCTGCTGAAAAGCAACTTATTGGGCAGACTTTTTCATGCTGACAAAGGCAGTAGTTTCCTTGGATCTTAAATATTTATTTTAATAACCACAGTGAATCAAAATTGAAGTGGAAAAAATGTAGTATTTTGTTCCTTTCCCTGTAGCCAGTAGTTTATTTTTATTAAATTTCCGTGTTCTCAGCCATTGTTTCTATTGTACTGTATTTCTGTTTTTCAAGTATATTGCATCAGATCATGAATATATTTTCAATCCATTGTGCTTCAGTACTGCACGTGTAGTTCTGAGAGGTAGCCAAACCACATGAAATTTTCTATAAATAGTATTTCATATGGTTTGTGTGCTTGACATCTAGTCCAAGAGTCAAAGCACTGTATTCTGTGTGCTTTTTTAAAAGTGTATCTTTACTTGATTAATCTTCAGGTTTTGAGGGCCAAAAACATTTACTGCTTACTTTAACTGATTATGCAGATAGGTTATCTATGTGCCAGTGATTTAGAGAGAGAAAGTTTTCTAGGATATTGGAGCTATGATTCCGGAAATCTGTCTCACCTGAGACAGAAAATTCCATGCATACTTCTTTTTTCCTTAATAATAATAATGCCTTTTCATTACATTGGTAGCTGCCCAAGACAGCTAGTTCACTTTTCCTAATGTTTAGATAGATCCTCTTTGAACATTGAGCTTGAGTTTGAAAAATCCAGTTGCTGCAAAGCTATGAATCTTACTAAGCAGCCTCAGACATATGATGCATGAAGCTGCATTATGTTAGATCATGGGTTCTTCTGCATTCACTGGAAGGAGGAAAAAAACCTCCTGATCTAACACATTAATACTATACAAGGCTAGTAGAAAGAGTAGTCTTCACAGTCTAATTTTCCTTTCAGACCTTTTCTAGTACAACTCCAAGAAACCCCAGCTTCAGGCTTTCCTAGAGGTTCAGACAGTAACTTTACCAAGTTCTGGCATAGTTACTCCTGTCCTGCTACCCAAGATTCTTTCAAGTGGAGATGTCAAGGATTTGATCTAGGACTTTCTGTGTGTTGTCATGTACCCTACCACTGACTAACCCTTTTTGTAATATTATTACAAGCCATCAGTTGAGAATGTCTCATAAATTTAGACTCATGAGGATTCGTTTCCTTTCACTGGAAACATTTACCCATGTCCAGAGCACCCAATGAAAGAATGTCTTTACATTTTGTATCTAATCAACTTAATGAAGATCTTCATTTAAAGTCAAAGAAGAAAACCAACTGTGACACAGTTTTTAGAGGGTAGCGCTAAAGAATGAAAAATCTGTCTCACAGACATATATGTGTAAATCCTGCATAAAGCCTGGGACTAGCCTGCTATTTAGAACTGTCTTAAAAGTTTGCAAGGTCAGAACATATTGCTTGGATTAGTGAATCTCTTTAGGGGCTTATAGTATTAACTGAGTTCTAAGAAAGAAAGAAAAAACAATGAGACAGATTTATGGACTGCAAATATGTAGCTGTAAGGAAGTACCAAATCTGAGCGGTATCCCCAAAACTGTTTCTTAATTTAAACACTCAAAAAAGATTGTTAACATGCCCCCCACATCACACATTTGTCCTATTTCTCCATTGTCTGTTGCTGTAGGTACTTTTCTCCATTCTCTGCCCAGTTCCATTATGGAGATGGGAAGAGAAAAGAGATGATAGACAGTTATTGAAGGAAGTAAGGCACAGGAGATGCAGGAGTATCTACCTACTCCTGTGTAGTCATTGTGCTGTTAACAGTAAAGTTCCCCACCAAAACTGGTTACCAGGGTAGATATATGAATGATAGTCCAGTCCCTAACACAAGTAAATCAGTGGCAGCATCAAGGATGAAGATTTCAATGATATTCCACTCAGTTTTTGCCAAACAGACTTGGGTAATGACTCAGTAGTAGTGTCATAACAACAGATAGATATGAATATCTAGGCTGGGAATATAACAATAGTATTCCCTATTGTTTCCTCTTTGTAGTCTATGTGCAGTCACACATAGAGGTTCTCTGACTTCTCTGAACCACTGATTGGAAATGTCTAGCTTGGCTAGTATCATGATCACTGCCTTATTTTCAACTTCAGGACACACGCTCCAAGAATATGGCCCCTTTTTGACAGTGGTATTTGCAGGCAAACTTCACTTGTTTATATTGAACTGGCTAGACCAAAAAAGAAAAAGAAAAAAGTTTTCTTTCTGTCTCTTTGAGTACTTTGCCAGGCCAATGATACACTATTGGGGGGAGGCAAAAAAAATATGGTCTCATATATTGGGACTGAGTGTCTCTCTGTAGTTGAAGGGTGCAGAATGCAGGCTCAGGGACAAACTGCACACTGTAGCTTCTATTAGAAATGGAAATCTGTTCCAGAAATGTGATTCAGGTGGGCCTTTCTGACTGAGCAGTCATAGATTAAAATGAAGTCTGAGCCTATTTTCTGATGACCAGTTACAAAACAAAAATAAGCTACTTTACAAACCTCAGGATGTATGGAAAAGCTCCTGCTAAGACAATCAGACATTTTCAGCATGCAAGAAATTCCCTGTTCTGATGATGGACTATCTATAGCATATAGGTTGGCCCTCAGTGAAAGAGCATTAAGGTTTACAGCTTGCTGGGATGCATAGTTAATAGTTTCTCTCTGTCCCGACCAACCAGAAGGCTGGCTGAAGCTCAGGCAAGTTCTTGTTGTCTTTTCCTTCCCTTCAGTTTCACTTGGGAGGTTTTTTTTAACACTAGCTCCCTTCCTGGCCTTGTGCTAATGGCCAGTCCCACAGGGAACCAGCTGCAGAGCAATCAGTGGTCTCCTCGTACTACAAAAAAAAGGAGAAGCAGGTTGCTTTGTCAATACTGTCTTAATATCATCTCCTCCTGCTCATTTAACAGTAATGTGTTAAATCACTGGCATCTCTTATTCTAGAGAAAATGAGCCAGTAATTGACCTCACTGTTTCTTCAGTGGCCCAGTGCCTCTTCCTCAACTGCAGGTAGTTAAGGAGATAGATACAGCCAGATCCACATCGGAGAGAGAATTAGAAATCATATTTCTGATTGCTCTCATCCATTTTGCCTTTCTCCACTTCCACCAGCCAAGTGTGCCACCTCTGTTACAGCAGATCATGGGTAGCCCCATTGTTCCTTAGGTAAGTTTCATGAACAGGTCATCAACTCCACTCATCCTGATTGCCAGTCATGAGTGATCACCTCTGCCACTTGATGCTTCCTGATGTAAGGTTGTGTGTATGCCCACAGACATGGGCTGAGAAAATGGGAGCTGTTATCTTTGAACCACGTATGCTGAGACTGAAGAAGGCCCCTGCCAGAGTGCTAGTGTACCTTTAGATAGTTCTAAAATGAGGACCTGTTCAGTCACTGCATCCATATATAAGTGAGAGCACAGATAACTACACAAAGGACCCAAGTTATAGGTAAGCAATAATTTTTCCTTCGCACGAAATCAGTGCTGCTTTCTTTTCAAGCTTTATATACACAGCATATATTTTTATCTATACCTTATGCCTCTGCTCTTTTAGAGCAAAAATTATGTAGCTGATATTATTTCAATGGAAACATTTCCATAACTTTTATTTCGAGGGAATGCTTTTATAAACGTCACTATATATTCCAGAATATAGTATTACTATCAATACAGTAAGTATAAGTAATTAGGTTACGGTTTGGGGACCAAACAACTCCGGGAGGCAGTGGAAGATAGGAGGGCCTGGCGTGCTCTGGTCCATGGGGTCACGAAGAGTCGGACACAACTAAATGACGACGACGTTGGGGGCTCTGTTGTAGTCTGTGCTCACTAGAATTAACTTTAATTTTGGGAGCATGTGGTTGTTAAGCAAGAGATAATTAAAGAAAAAAGTATATCTATCTCTATTTGTGTAATTCTGAGCAAAGAAGTTATTACAGCCTGCTTTCTGTTTGAGATGTTCTTTTATAGTTTAAGATATGTGATCTTGTGTAAGACATACACTAAATTATATTAAATATTCATATTGCAGGTTCATGAGATCTTTGAGTGTCAAGAATGTGACAAGAAATTTATTTCAGCCAACCAGCTAAAACGCCATATGATAACTCATTCAGGTAAAAAGAAAAATCCCATTCACAATGAAATCAGTATTCAATATATTACCTTGAACTGTTTGGGTTCGTATTTGCGTTAGCAAGCATATTACACATGCTCTTTGTATAGAGTTTGGGAACAATTAACAGCAAAAAACAAAAAAGGAGTAGAGTTTTACAAAGCCGTTGTGTAATTATTTCTACAATCTACTTAAACCGGTTGGCTTAGGTTTAAGATGATAGCAATACTAACTTGAATAAGATAGGGTCTGGAGTCTTAAACAATTTGTTGCAACACTTTCTTCCAGTTAAGTGTGCTTGGAGCTGGTATCCCCCTTGAATCATTTAACTCAAAGTACTAGTTTAATGGTTTTGTGGGTTTCAGCCTGCATATATAATACTAACACATTCTGTTATGTATTCCTTTCTGTTATCCCTCCCTCTCCTGATATGCCCCTGCTGTTTCCTTCCATTATGGTCTTGTGTCTTGAAACTTGATCCAGCTGTTTGCTTGTAAAATCTTGATGGGGGCGTTGCATGGTAGAAAGTAATCTAAGTGATGCAGGGATGACTTGTAGAGGTAGCGATATTCAAGGACTGATGGTGGCAGGAGAAAGATAAAGTGGCAGGCCTTTCCTTTTGCTCTTGCTTCTAGATGTCTGGAAGGGGTTTCCACAGACTAAAGCAGACCCCCCCCCACTTGAGGCAGTAGCAGCATTAGCTAAACATCATATAGCATTTTACTTGGCTCTTGATGGAACTGGCAGAAGGACCTCCTTCCTGAAGCTGCAAGAATTACTGCATTGCCTAATCAGACTCTGCCACCTATTCCACTTTTTTAAACTCTGTAATATCTGTGGCTTTCATGGGGAGGCACATTTGTTCCCTTCTCCAGATGCTTTCAAACCGGTTTTCAACATTCCAAACACAGCTAATTGCTTGCTATTTCCATATCATGGCATTTTCCGAGTGCATTTTTGAAAAACAAACATAAAATTTACTTCTCAGAGGCATTTAGCTGGCTGTTGATATTATGGATTAGAATATTGTACTGCTGGCTTTAACTAGCAACTGAACCACGTAACTGTATACATACCAACTGGGTTTTAATGAAACAGATATGCTATGTATATTGCTAGTTGTGTTTTAAAACAGTTAAACTGTCATCCCGTCTTTTCAGTTTTGTAGTCTGGCAACAGGCTTTGCCTCTTTGAAGTTGTTCTCTTTTGATTTAAGCTAATTAATCAGAGTTTCATTTTTGCCGTGATTGTTGCAAAGAACGTGCCAATTTCTCGAGATGCTCCATAGCTTATATTTTATGAAGCGACTTAACTGTGTAAAGTAAAGGGCATTAGATGTCTTTCTAATTGGTTTAATCTTAATTGGGTTGACTTCATTGCAGAAATCTCTCTGAGGAGATGGCTGTCTCTGCCTTTCATCTTCTACCCCTGTATAAACAGGAGATTAAATGTCCCCCCACTCATTTTCTGCAGAAAAACGCCCCTACACCTGCGAGGTTTGCAATAAGTCCTTCAAACGGCTTGATCAAGTGACTGCACACAAAATAATACACAGTGAAGATAAGCCCTATAAATGCAAGCTTTGTGGAAAGGGATTTGCCCACAGAAATGTTTACAAGAATCACAAGAAGGTAAACAAAAAAGCACCAAAAAAGTTAAGAAAACAAACAAACACCAGTCTGCTGTTATTGTTTACAGCTCTGTCAGTACTGCAGCTGTTGCTCATTTTGATGATGGATCAGTACGCTTTGGCATGCTTAGAAACAAGAGCTTCAAATCTTTCAAAATATATTAGCTAACATTCTGTGGAGGTAACCTGTATTTCAAGAGAATAAACAAATTCCTGGTTATTGTTTGGTGTTTCTTTTACTTAGCCCAAACTAGTTACATTGATTTTATTCCTGTAGGAATATTTAACTTTTTTAAAAAAAGTTGGAAACTGATACTGATGTTGTAGTCAATATGTTCTCTTTGTGGCTACCAGGAGAAACATTACAATTTCTCTTGCATTTCAGTGAAACACCACTGCAGCCATCAACAGAAACTCTGCCTTTAAAATACAGACGAACCACACATTCAGTCTCCACTAAGAGGCTCCTGGCTGTGTGATTTAAGCTCCAATCTGCCTGCTCTAATTTCGATAATGCCTGTCATTACTTCTGACCCTGGGTTACATATTCAATGGCACGGCTGCACCCTTGACTGCTGCTGCTTTAGAACTGCGAGAGTGTAAAAAAATTATCCGGCTGGCTTCCTGCTTAGTCTTTGGAATCCCTTGCTCATTCCCTCCCCTTCTCCACTGCCCCTGACCCAACACTTTGATGAAACAGATATACCAATAACTCTGTATTTTTCACAGTTTGGCTCACGTTATATGCCATCTGGGAATTTGGCACTGGATCTTTGCACCATCTTTTGTATTTTTAGCCATAAATCATATGAAAGTAATAATAATAAGCAGCATGCTTCTTGCAGGGTGAAACAACGGTGACCGTTCTAACCCAGACAGGATGCATGAGCCTGTTGAAGGACAGACTAGCTTGCGTTCACATTGGGATCGTAGCTTTTGTGTGTAAAATCTTTGTTGTTGTAAATACTATACAAAGTGGCTGCGTTAGATGAGTAGGACTGAAAGAGTCTCTAAGCAGTCTTTGAGCCAAAGGAGATGAAGGAAAGGAAATAACTCACTTCTATAGTTCCTATGATTTAATGAACAACATTCATTTAAAATCACCTACATGTTTTTTATTCAGGATCCAAAATACAACATGCCCCGAAGATGATCAAAGTAAGAACAGCTGGATAGGTCACTAGTTTAGGGTATATGGTTGCAGAACCAGATGTTGGGAGTTTGATTCCCCACCATACCTCCTTAAGAATGGCTGGACTTGATGATCTATAGGCTTCCTTCCATCTCTGAAGTTCTAGGATTATCCATTACTTTGAGAGGATTGAAGTTCTTTTGTGGAAGTGCAGCCATATCAGTGCAGGTGAGGGAACAGGACTAAGTTCTGGAATCTCTCATATAGACTGGGATGGATTTCTGTCACAGATTTTAGAACTTAGGTTTGTAGTGTGGTGATGATATTGGACAAAGTAGGTCAAGGAGAGATTGAATTCAGTTTGTGTGAATTACTTCCTGAACACCCCACATTTAGAATCCTTGTGCTCCACTGATATGTCTTCAGTTTACAAAATAATATGCATACTAGGTATCTTTTAACAGATACCTCTTTTCTTTGTTAAGTGAACTGTTGTTTCAAAATTGGCTTGCCAGATTCTACCAAGATCTGTCTAGTAATCTGTTCTTGGCAAGAATCCCACCAGTCAGCAATCCCAAGATGGGCACTTCACCCTGGCTAGTAATTTACCAAGAAATCGTGGCTCGCTTTCTAAGACACACAACACTATAGATCTAGTTCAACTTCTGTCAGTTATGTGGACTGATCCAACCTGGATGTTTTGTATAATCACTTCTGCAACTGTATGCTGTGGGGCAGGTCAGGACGCAGAATAGAATTCTGAAGCCATAGTGCCTCCAACAGCTGTGTTCTGCTTAGCTTTGATTTAATATTTTGCCAGGCTTGGATGCTTTCAGGTGTATTTGGATAGCCTTGAGACCTGGAACGGTTAATGTGAAGCTTAAACCCTTAAAAAGTGAATAGTTCCTGCCTACACTACCTGTTGTTCCACTTTCCTTTCCTTTTTTTAGAGTATGTAAAAATTGGCATCTGCGACCCTAAATGAGCTACTATGTCTCTTAACAGAAGACAGACAATATCAGCTTTCTTCTCTTTTAAATTTTTATAGTTTCAGAGATAAGAGTGGGGAAACATGATAGCACTGTACTCTGAAAGTCCAGAAACTTGATGGCATGTAAAAATTAGCTGTAATTCACTCATTTTCTACATGTTTTATAGACCTCTTAACTTTACACACAGAACTGAAAGGTTAAGACACGTAAGTTAACAATTCTGAAACAAGGATGTCTTCATGCCTAGTGCCTGGTTCCTAGCGTTCAACTAGAGATTTTATGGCAGCTTGTGCTGGTTTGTTTTTCGACCAGACAGGTGTTCGGTGCTTCCCCGTCCCGCCTTCTCTAGTGGGTGCCCAGTGAAAGGCAGTGCCCTGGCTTCCCTGCCCCGCCTCTTCCAGGTGCTGCATCTGAATGGGTGCTGGTTAGAAGAGGTGGAACTGGGAAGCTCTGAACATCTGTTCACCCAAAAAAAAGAACCAGCACAAACCGACAGTTTGATGGTTCATGACCTTCTCTACATCCAACATAAAAATACCTGCAGATTATATTAAAATGAAATAAAGGGAATGTAGTTATTTATATTTATAACTTAGGGCAAAAGCAGGTGCAATGTGCTATAGAAGTAGCCCCATTAGTCCATGAGCCTGGCCACTGCATCTCAAAATAGTTACTGTGTTGCTGGAAAAGTTGCAGAAGGAAATAACTCAAATGATGAAGGGCCTGGAGCTTTTCTCCTATAGGTTTTTTTTTTAAGTTAAAAAGAGAGTGAACACAATGCATGGTAGAGGTGTACATAATTCTGCAGGGTGTTGGGGAAATGAATAGGGAGAAGGTTTTCTCCACCATAGTACTGGACTCACTGAGTGCAGTTGAATGATAGTTTCTGCACCTTTTGCATAATTAATATTAGATCACACATTTGCAGAGGAGAGGGAGGGAAATGAGACAAAAAGTTGGAGAAAATGAGCAATATTTATTTGAGTTTACAAAGCTGAACCCCAAGCAAATGAGGGAAAAGAAAGGTTGGTGCTCCGTGGCCAAATTAACTTAATGTATTAGGTGGCCCATAGTCATTATTTGAATGTGTAACCTGCCTGAAATGCAGGTGTGGTACACAATTCTTCTGTTCATAGAATTATAGACTAATAAAGTTGGGTCTGTAAGGCCACCATGTCCAACCCCCCTGCTTAATTAGGAATACAAATTAAAGGATATCTGCCAGAAACTTATCTAAGTTTCTCTTGAATGCCTCCTGTGTTGGAGCACTTATCACCTTTTGAGGTAATTGGTTCCGCTATTGTACTGCTCTAACAGTTAGGAAGTTTTTCCTGATGTTCAATTGAAATCTGACTTCCTGTAACTTAAGCCCATTGTTGCTTGTCCTGCACTCTAGGATGATTGAGAACAGATCCTGCCCCTCCTCTGTATGACAGCCTTTCAAGTATTTGAAAAGTGTTATCATGTCACCCGTTTATCTTCTTTTCTCAAGGCTAAGCATGCCTAATTCTTTCAGCTTTGGGCACCCTAGAACCAAAGAGGGAAGTTGAGAAGGTTGCATTGCCTTCTCTTCTGACAAGAGACTGGTGCTCACATGACTGACCCCTTTAAAGGACCTACCAGCAATGGAGGGAATCTCATGAGATCTCCCCCAGCAAGGTATAGTTTGACTCCTCACACTTGCTGCAACAGCTCCCCCTTCAATGCATGCTTGGGCATATAAGTTCAGTTCTTCTCTAGTCAAAGAGAAAAAGTCAATTAAGAGACTTGAGAGAAACATTGCCATGCAGACAACATACGTTATGGGGTTAGATTGGAGCCAAAGTATACAGCAAAAAGGTTTCCTAATCACTGAAAACCAAAATGGCTTGAATCCTATCAGGCCATTGCTCCGGAGTAAGTGAAATCATGTAAGTTATAGTGGTGAATGGCATCTAATTAATAAGGTCCTGGTCCTGTGCTAGTCATGTGACCAGGCACATGACTCACACCTTGTTAATTACCTGTAATTTGCCACTGCAATTTACATAATTTCATTTACTCCAGAATAAAATTTCAATAGGAACCAGTTAGTTAAAAAGATAGTTCCAATGGATTAGCTAGTTATTGTTATAAATATAAACATTGAAAAAGTAGTGTGTTGCTTCCAGGTTTCTCAAAAATAATAAACTAATTGCTTACTAAAGGATACAGTTACACCGTAAAAGGCATGACCTTACTTATTGCTAAGTTTCCATGAGAATATAATGTAGCTATCAGTATACAAAAAATGAATTAATTACAAATAATAGTATTCTATAATTAGTTACTTCCAATCTAGATGAAACCTGTCAAAGAACTGCTAAGACACCCCTTAATGTTTTATTCTCAGCTGAAATTCTAAAATACAGTGCAGGCTTATAGTTCCAAAATACATACAGTGAGCAAATCTAATAGTAAGGCATTAGTTTAGAGTCTCTTTTCATCTTTGCTAGTTGCAACAGAGATGTTTTGATTGAAAATTCAAATGAACACAGACAACCAAAACATGCTTTCAGATGTGATGTTTTCATATATATCTGTATAAACATAATATATATATATTACACAGACAGACAGATAAATAATCTTGTGGTCATTTCATTCCACTGGTATTAAAAGTGTGTATTTTAAAATGTTTGATGAAAAACAGGAATTGGTGATTGTGCGCATTTGGAGAATGTTATCTTGATGCCTATATATAATTTTTTATGATTATAAAAGGGCATTGGGTAAAAGACCAATGGAGGAAATGCCTCCATTGGGAGGAAACAGTATTCAAACTGCAGCATAAACCATCAATGTATAGCATAGGTGTGCATGTTTGTGTTTTTGTAGTCCAGAAAACCCTATCTGCAC